TTTGTTTTGTTTTAAAGTCTCCAGCCTATTGTATCAGCAGGGGTTTGGTCCTTGTGCCTCTAACAAGGACGGCAATAGGCTGGGATAGAACACACTCTTCTAAAAGAGTGCAAATGACCAGCTGTCTGCAAGGGGTATAAATCCTTCCCTTCCCCACCGTCCAGTCAGAGCTGAAGAAGCTTCTGGGAGGAGAAGCGAAACGCCTTCAAAGGAAAAACAAGAAAGTCCAGTTGCCTCTTGAAAAAGCATCTTTGGGACAAGTATGACTTGGATGACTGAGAATCTCCATAGACAACATCTCTTAACACAATTTATATAAATGTATTAGAACCGTCCCACAATTGGTTGACCCCCCTCATTCTTTGGGGCAGCCCCTCAGATGTTGGAAGGCCGCTATCATGTCCCCCATAGTCCTTCTTTTCAATAGATTGCAGATCCCGAGTCCTGCAACTGTTCCTCATATGTTTTGGCCTCCAGCCTCTTCTCTTTGTAGCTCTTCTCTGCACTCTTGTTTTTAAGAGTCTCAACACCTTTTTTTATATATTGTTGAGACAATGCCACTGGAGGCAATCTTCTCTGCAAAGAGAGCTCCATTTGCTAGGAGCCTGGGAAACCAAGGGCATTTGATGGGGACGGGATGGGGGGGGGGGGAAGAGGGTCTTCAGTACCTGGCCAACAAAATTTGGGAAACTCCCATCCAGTTATGTGTTGTTCCTTATCACGGCACGTGGTAAGGAGAGATTGGACAGCCGTTTGTCTAGAATGGGATAGGGCAGGGGTAGGCCACCTTGGCTCTTTTATGACTCGTGGACTTCAACTCCCAGAATGCCTGAGCCAGCTGTGCTGAGGGGAAACGGAGAGGTTTCCAAGCTGAGCCATGCTGGCTGAGGAATTCTGGGAGTTGAAGTCCACGAGTCATGAAGGAGCCATAGTTCCCCCCTGCCGGCTCAGGCATTCTGGGAGTTGAAGTCCACGAGTCATAAAAGAGCCAAGGTGGCCTACCCCTGGGATAGGGTTATATCCTTCAATCGGAATAAAGCTGGGACCTTGGAGGTCAGCTAGTCCACCCCCTGATCAAGCAGGAGATCCTGTACCCTTTCAGATAGGGGGCTGTCCAGTCTCTTCTTAAAAACTTCCAGTGTTGGAGCATTCACCGCTTCTGGAGGCAGGTTGTTCCACTGGTTAATTGTTCTCACTGTCAGGAAATTTTCTCCTTAATTCCAGGTTGCTTCTCTCCTTGATGAGTTTCCATCCGTTGCTTCTTGTCCTGCCTTCAGGCGCCTTGGAGAATAGCTTGACTCCCTCTTCTTTGGGGCAGCCCCTGAGGTATTTATATAAAGCGGTACTAATACTTTGCATGATCTTAATAATAATAATAATGTTGATAAAGTTGGAAGGGACCTTGGAGGTCATCTAGTCCAACCCCCTGCTCAGGCAGGAAACCCTGTACCATTTCAGACAAATGGCTGTCCAGTCTCTTCTTAAAAACTTCCAGGGTTGGAGCATTCACTGCTTCTGGAGGCAGGTAGTTCCACTGGTTAATTGTTCTCACTGTCAGGAAGTTTCTCCTTAGTTCTAGGTTGCTTCTCTCCTTGATGAGTTTCCATCCATTGCTTCTCGTCCTGCCTTCAGGGGCTTTGGAGAATAGCTTGACTCCCTCTTATTTGGGGCAGCCCCTGAGATACTGGAACGCTGCTATCCTGTCCCCCCTAGTCCTTCTTTTCTCTAGACTGGTCAAATCCGTTCTTCCTATATATATTTTTTGTCTCTAGGCCCTTAATCATCTTAGTTGCTCTTCTTTGCACTTTTTTTTTTTTGCACTCCTACTTGAGCAGGGGGTTGGACTAGAAGACCTCCAAGTTCCCTTCCGTTGATGCTGTTATTCTGATCGGAGGCGGTGAGCCTTCAGCGGCACGGCTGTGGACGCCGTCTTGACCTTTAGGATCCCACCCCCCCTCCCATCCCCAGGGGCCCATTTCTATTTTAGAGGCTCACCGGACTCATTGGGGCTCGGACTCCGGAGCGCCGTCGGGCTGCTCGGCTGGGCCTTGATCGTTTTCCGGCTGGCTTGGCGCTTGCAGCGGTTCTGAGGTTTCGGCTTCACCCGGACCGTCTGCCTGGCTCACCGGAGGCTCGGCCTGGCCTGAGTCTTCGGGCTGGTCAGGAGCCCCCAGCGGGCCCGAGGGCTCGATCAGCAGGGAGGCAGCGGCCTCCAGCTCCTCCACGTCCAGGTCAGTCAGCTGGGGAGCTTCGGGCCAAGCGCCCTCTTCGAAGGCCTGCAGCCTCATTTCCACCACGTGTTGAATTAAGCCTAGAGGAGGGGTGCGGTTGGGCTGAGAAGCAATAGCAGCAGCAAGAGCACTTATATACCGCTTTAGAGGGCTTCACAGCCCTCTCCAAGCGGTTTACAGAGTCAGCCTATGAGCCCCCCAACCATCTGGGTCCTCGTTTTATCGACCTGGGAAGGACGGAAGGCTGAGTCGATCTTGAGCCGGTGAGAGGATCGAACTGCTGGCAGTGGGCAGAGTTTAGCCTGCGATGCTGCATTCTAACCACTGCACTACCAAGGCCCTTCCTTCCTTCCTTCCTTCCTTCCTTCCTTTCCTTCCTTCTCATTCCCAGCTCTTCCCTCCCTCCCTCTCACTGCCCTTCCTTCTCATTCCCACCTCTTCTCGCCCTCCCTCTCACTGCCCTTCCTTCCTTCCTTCCTTCCTTCCTTCCTTCCTTCCTTCCTTCCTTCCTTCCTTCCTTCCTTTCCTTCCTTCCTTCCTTCCTTTCCCTTCCTTCCTTCTCATTCCCACCTCTTCTCGCCCTCACTCTCACTGCCCTTCCTTCCTCTCTTCCTTTCCTTCCTTCCTTCCTTCCTTCCTTTCCTTCCTTCCTTCCTTCCTTTCCCTTCCTTCCTTCTCATTCCCACCTCTTCTCGCCCTCACTCTCACTGCCCTTCCTTCCTCTCTTCCTTTCCTTCCTTCTCATTCCCATCTCTTCCCTCCCTCCCTCCCTCTCACTGCCCTTCCTTCCTTCCTTCCTTCCTTCCTTCCTTCCTTCCTTCCTTCCTTCCTTTCCTTCTTTCCCTTCACACTTAGACTTATATACCGCCTCATAATGCTTTACAGCATCTTCTGAGTAAGCATGATTCTCCCCAACAATCTGGGCCCTCATTTTACTGACCTTGGAAGGATGGAAAGCTGAGTCAACCTTAAGCCAGTTAGGAATAAACTGCAGGCAGCGGGCAGAATTTAGCCTGCAATGCTGCATTCTAACCACTGCACCACCAAGGCCCTTCCTTCCTTCCTTCCTTCCTTCCTCCCTCGCTCCCTCCCCCCCCCCTCCCTCCCTCCCTCCCTCCCTCCTTCCTTCCTTCCTTCCTTCCCTCCCTTCACACTTAGCACTAGCACTCAGGCTTATATACCTCTCCGTACTGCTTTACAGCATCTTCCGGGTCAGCCTATTTGCCCCCAGCCATCTGGGTCCTCATTTTACCGACCTCGGAAGGGCGGAAGGCTGAGTCGACCTCGAGCCGACGAGAGGATTGAACTGCTGGCTGTGGAATGCAGAGTTTGCCTGCAACGCTGCATTCTAGCCAGTCCACCACATCGGGGCTCTTATAATTAATTAATAAATAAAGAGATAAAACTATGAGGTATTTCTGAAATCCCTTCACGAGATCCTGCAAGGACTTTGGGGATGGCCGTAACTAACCACGACCCCTCCCCATCTCCTAAGGCAGTCACTTTGCCATGGAGCAAGTAGGGGGCTCTCTCCCATACTGGAGCCCTAGAGGGGCCAGGGGGGAGCAGTGACCCTGGAGTAAGAGCCCTTGGGCAGTGGAAACCGTGACTGCATGTGTGTACAGGTAGTCCTCGACTTAGGTCCACAAATGAGCCCCAAATTTCTGTGGCTAAGTCAGACAGTCGTTAAGCGGATTTTGCCCCATTTTACGACCTTTTTTTTTTGCTGCCGCAGCTAAATGAATCGCTTCAGTTGATCAGTTAATAACCCGGTGGTCCAGCCTTCAACTTAAAAGATTCTCTTTCTAGTCCAGGGCTTTTCAACCAGGGGTACGGGTACCACCTGGGGTACATGGGCACCCGGCAGGTGGTACGCGACCATCCTAGAAAAGTGGTAGCTGGGGAGGGGAATGAGCTGAACCGGTGGCAGCACCGCACAAGCCTGAGCGAGAGACGGCTGGAGCTGCAGGGCTGTCAGGGCTCAGCGGAAGCCCCAGGATCAGCGCTGCTTTCCAGCTGATCGGCGCTTCTTCGGGGCTGTCAGGGCTCAGCGGAAGCACCAGGATCAGCGCCAGGCTCCAGCTGGAGCTTGGCACTGATCCTGGTGCTTCTGCTGAGCCCAGAAGAAGCGCCGATCAGCTGGAATGTTGCAGCCTCTCCAGGGTCTTGTGATTTACATTCAGATGCTTGGCCACTGATTCATATTTATGACGGTCACAGTGTCCCAGGGTCATGTGAAGTGACCAAAACCTGCTGCAACCACCCAGCAGACGGGGGGAATAAAAACCAAACACCCCCACCCCACCCCCACTGCCAATCCTCAACAGAAACGCTCACAACAATGAAAACCTCGGACAGGAGGAAGAGCGTCGCTGGGCGGGCAGGCAGGTGTCTTGCTCGGCTGTGGCTTGGGGGGCACTTTTTTCAGTGCCATTGTAACTTCCAACAGTCACTAAGCGAACTGTTGTAAGTCAAGGACTACCTGTACTTTATCACTTTTTTCCTTTTTTTTGGTTTTGGGTCAAGTTTTTGACACCTTGCTAGGCGACTGGTGGTACTCGGATGTTGCCGTATCCTAAAAGTGGTACAATGGGTGAAAAGGTTGAAAAGCCCTGTTCTAGGAGACCCCAGCCCAGCCCAACTCTGTATTTACTGAGTGTGGGAGGGGTCAGTTAAGGGAGAGGGTCCTTGTTTTCTTTGGACAACATGTGATGGCCCCTCACAGCCCAGACTCTCACTTACTATCAGCAATGATTCGTCCAAGGGACCTTCTCTCCAGCAGCGTCTCCATCTTGCCCATTATCCATGGGATGAAGCCCGTCTCGATGTCTGGGGGGGGTAAAAGAGCAGGCGTTACCATTGTAAGGCCCATCATCCCTGGCCGGTGTGGTGCCCGCCTGATAGAAGTGAATGAAAGGTCTTCAAATTTTAAAATTGAATCTGCTGTGGAGGGGAAACCTCACTGAGTGGAGAAACAAGCCTGTCTAAGAAGCTGCAATAGGGAACCAGGAAATGGTAGGATAAAGGGAGGATGTAAGATAGGCACGTAGGCAAAAATCAGCCAGAATGGGAAAAGAAAAAATACAAGCTGTAAAAAAAACAGCCACCCTTGGAATCCTGCATCCAGTTTTGGTCACCACGATGTAAAAAAGATGCTGAGACCGTAGAAAGAGTCCACAGAAGAGCAACAAAGATGATCAGGGGACTGGAGACTAAAACATATAAGGAACAGTTGCTGGAATTGGGTATGTCTAGTTTAACGAAGAGAAGGACGAGGGGGGACATGATAGCAGTCTTCCAGTATCTCAGCGGCTGCCCCAAAGAAGAGGGAGTCAAGCTCTTCTCCAAAGCGCCTGAAGGCAGGACCAAAAGCAACAGATGGAAACTCATCAAGGAGAGAAGCAACTAGAACTAAGGAGAAACTTCCTGACAGTGGGAACAATTAACCAGTGGAACAACCTGCCTCCAGAAGCGGTGAATGCTCCAACACTGGAAGTTTTTAAGAAGAGACCGGACAGCCATTTGTCTGAAATGGTATAGGGTTTCCTGCCTGAGCAGGGGGTTGGACTCGATGACCTCCAAGGTCCCTTCCAACTATTATTATTATTATTATTATTATTATTATTATTATTATTATTATTATTATTATTATTATTATTATTATTATTATTATTATTATTATTATTATTATATGGCTCGCCAGGGAAAATTAGCTGAATGGGATAACTGGAAAGGCAGATTAAACTGAAACACAGGAAAAAAAACCTAAGCAGCCGTAAAATATCCCCAACACTCAAAACAAGCAATTGAATATGTCTAATAGCTTATATTATTAATGTACGTGTGAAGCATGTTTAAGGAAGGTAGCAGGAAATATGCAGGAAGCGGTCGGGAAGCGTGTAACCTCACAGTACCTCAGCCAATGGGGAACAAAGAAGGATGTGGCGGCCGGGACAGGGTTGTATAAAAGAAGGGAATATTTTGCGTTGGAACTTTGGAGAGAACCAAGCTTTGATAACTTCTCTCCCCGCTTATTGCAATAAATGAAAAAAAAAAGGCCTTCACGGACTCTTGGCTGGCTATTGTCAGTTGAGCTTGCCTCTGGTCACGAAGGAAAGTAGCCAGGAGCACATAACAACTCCATTGACCCACAGATCACCAAGGAGCTGTGATGAAGTTACCCCTGTTATGATGTAATTTGTACAGTGATGTCATCAATCGTGTGACATCCATCCCCACTACCCCATCACCCATTGCCACATAAGGACAAAGCAGACTCTGCAGAATCACAGAATCACAGACTGGAAGGGACCTCGGAGGTCTTTTAATCCAGAGGTCCCCCAACCCCCGGGCCGTGGCGCACTAGCAGGCTGTGGCCTGTTCGCAACCGGGCCGCTGGCTGGCGTGCACGTATGCACAGCTCAATTTGCAATTGAGCTGGGGGTATGTGTTGCATGCGTGCTGGCCTGCCGCTCACACAAGTTGAGTTGCGCATGCCTGTGCACGCCGGCCTGCTGCTCGAGTGGCCTGGTTCCCCTCTCCCTCCCCCCCAGCTGGGCCACCAAGCCACGAAGGTTGGGGGCCGTTGTTCTAGTCCAGGGGTAGTCAACCTTGGCTCTTTTATGTGCTGGCTCAGGAATTCTGGGAGTTGAAGTCCACGAGTCATAAAAGAGCCAAGGTTGACTACCCCTGGACTAGTCCAACCCCCTGCTCAAGTGGGAGACCCTATCACATTTCAGTCTCTTCTTAAAACCCTCCAGTGTTGGAGCACCCATAACTTCTGGTGGCAAGTCATTCCACTGGTTAATTGTTCTTGCTGTCAGGAAATTCAACTGGCCCAGAATGGTGCAGTGCTCCCAGAAATGGGGGGTGGGGGTAGTGTTCCTATGTAACCTCTTGATTGCGGGATCTTACTTCGGTTTCCAATTTAACACTAGGCAAGGTGGGAGGCCTATAAATTTAATAAATAAAAGAAACAAAATCTTGAGGTCCAGAGTGAATTGCTACGATGCCTGCTAGTGTCATCATTTTGCCATAGAAAAGGGGGGGGAGGGGTAGAAAACGGAGGGAATGGAAATTTGCAAGAAAGCCGTTCACGGACCATGAGAGCCTGCCCCACGTCAAGGTCATTGCCGCAGGTGCTTGATGGAGATGTGAACTGTTCCCATAACAAAAGAAACAGTACGGTTGGACAATGTGAACACCTGGTGGGTGGGAATCTATCTTTTAACTAAGCTCGCTTCACGCGGGAAAACTCAAGAGCTGGTTTTGCTTCTTCAGTTCTGAAATGCTGTACCCAATAAAGTTTTAACCTGATGGGCCTTAAACGCCTTGAGGTCTGCTAGTCAGACAGTTGACGCTTGACTTTTTTGACCACCACCTCCTGGCAGACATTCCTAGTGCAAGCTTTTTCCTTTAAAAACAAAAAAAAAACCACTTGTAGGAATGGGATGAACTGAATTTACAGATGGAGAAATGAGAAAATTTTGAATTCCGCAAATGGAAAAGGTTGAAACTGACCGGTCCCTCCGCCTGTGCTAGCACTGGGGATTAAATCAGGATTCCAAAACACAAAAGACTTCAAGCTGGCTCTTTTCCAATTCTACAGCCAGGCAGCCAATTCCCAGCACTGACCAAGGGAACCCTCTCTCCCCTCCACCCCCAGCACCTCTTTCCACCGGATCGTAGAAGTATCCACTGTCCCGAAGGCTGCCGAAGACGGACGGAACGAGATCCGAAAGATAGCGCTGGGCGAAGGTGCGAGCGGCGATCTTCTCCGCCGTTTCTTTCTCCTTCTGCAGCATTTCCATCTGCTGCTTTTTACGGCGTTCCTGCAGAGGAAAGGAGATGGAGGGTGCAGCCGTGGCTCCCTCGCTGTGTCCAACTAGCTCTTCAGCCACTCCTGCCCTTGCCAGCTGACTCCTCTTTGACTAGAGCTGGCCACTCCAGAGGCGTTCTTCCCTGTTTCCATGTTTAACATCTCCCCTCTGTCATTCCCAGACCTCGAAAGGGGGAAGGGGCTGGCATTCAAGGCCCCTTCCCAAGGCATCATCACCTGATGGGCTTCCTATCCACGCTTGCCCTGCACAACGGAAGCTCCTGGCGTACCTGGGGCAACGTTGTCCGGATTGTGATCCAGTCTGGAGCAATGTTTCTCAAGCTTGGTACCTTTCAGGCATCTGGACTTCCGCTCCCAGAATTCATTGCTGGCTGGGGAATTCTGGGAGATGAAGTCCGTACGTCCAAAAGCGGAGGAACACAGATCCTCGGAGGAACCCGGGGGCACTTGTGTTCGAACATCAGGAAGCGTCCGGAGTGCGGAGAGGGCCACGTCTCCTGGAGGGAGACCTCCTGATAGGCTTTCTGCCAAGCCCTCTTCCGAGAAGAGCCGCCTTGGAGCACCAGCAGCCACGTGGGGGCTTGGATTCCACCCCCTGAAAGATGCGGGGGAGTTTGCCCGTCTCTCAAATAGCCTCTGTAAGCAACACCGTCCTTTGACCCCAGAAATGGGAGGAGGAGGAGGAGGAGGAGGAGGAGGGGAAGGAGAAGGAAGAGAAGGAGAGGGAGAAGGAGATGGTGATGGAGAAGGAGAAGGAGAAAGAGGAGAAGGAGAAGGAGGAGGAGGAGGAGAAAGAGGAGAAGGAGAAGGAGAAAGAGAAGGAGAAGAAGGAGAGGAAAAGGAGAAGGGGAAGGAGAAGGAGAAGGAGAAGGAGAAAGAGAAGAAGGAGAAGGAGAAGGAGAAGGAGAAGGAGAAGGAGAGGAAAAGGTGATGGGGAAGGGGAAGGAGAAGGAGAAGGAGAAGGAGAAAGAGAAGAAGGAGAAGGAGAAGAAGGAGGAGAAGGAGAAGGAGAGGAAAAGGAGATGGGGAAGGGGAAGGGGAAGGAGAAGGAGAAAGAGAAAGAGGAGAAGGAGGAGAAGGAGAAAGAGAAGGAGGAGAAGGAGAAGGAGAAGAAGGAGAAGGAGAGGAAAAGGAGATGTGGAAGGAGAAGGAGAAGGAGAAGGAGGAGAAGAAGAAGAAGAGGAAGAGGAAGAGGAAGAGGAAGAGGAGGAGAAGAAGAAACATCTTACAGCAGTTACATCCTTCCTACAGTTGGGTGGCTGGAAAAGTGGGAAAAAGGGCTCGTTGGTGGGTGTGGGGCGCACATTCCTAGCCTCACTTGGGGCGTTGGGATCCTAAGCACCACACAGCCTTTTTCCCCCCTCCCAGAAACTGCTGTGGACTGCTCCTAAGGATGGAGGTTCCACGTACTGATTAGAAAAAATAGATCCACCTCGACTTCCTGTCAGCTTTGCAAGTTGGCACTTCCACCAGTTGCCAAGGACCAGTTTTGGGTCAAGAGATGACCGGCACTGACCGTCAAACCGAGAACTAGCAGTGGGAGCAGGGAGGGGGAGTGCTGCCCCCTTCCTTTAGGCCAGGGTTAGGCCACCTTGGCTCTTTTATGACTCGTGGACTTCAACTCCCAGAATTCCTGAGCCAGCCATGCTGAGGGGAAAGGGAGAGGTTTCCAAGCTGAGCCATGCTGGTTCAGGAATTCTGGGAGTTGAAGTCCATGAGTCATGAGGGGGCCATAGTTCCCCCATGCTGCCTCAGGAATTCTGGGAGTTGAAGTCCACGAGTCATGAAGGGGCCAAAGTTCCCCCATGCTGGCTCAGGAATTCTGGGAGTTGAAGTCCACCAGTCATGAGGGGGCCATAGTTCCCCCATGCTGCCTCAGGAATTCTGGGAGTTGAAGTCCACGAGTCATGAGGGGGCCATAGTTCCCCCATGCTGCCTCAGGAATTCTGGGAGTTGAAGTCCACGAGTCATAAAAGAGCCACGGTTGCCTACCCCTGATCTATCTATCTATCTATCTATCTATCTATCTATCTATCTATCTATCTATCTATCTATCTATCTATCTATCTATCTATCTATCTATCTATCTATCTATCTATCATCTATCTATCTATCTATCTATCTATCTATCTATCTATCTATCTATCTATCTATCTATCTATCTATCTATCTATCATCTAGGTCAGGGGTAGGCAACCTGGGCTCTTTTATGACTGGTGAACTTCAACTCCCAGAATTCCTGAGCCAGCCATGCTGAGGGGAAAGGGAGAGGTTTCCAAGCTGAGCCATGCTGGCTCAGGAATTCTGGGAGTTGAAGTCCACGAGTCATAAAAGAGCCAAGGTTGCCTTACCCCTGCTTTAGGCCCTGATCCCACCCAGGATCGGCCTGAAATCCTTCCCACGGGAAGCTTCTGACCCAAACCAGCATTCTCCCGCTCTCCCAAATTCCAGATATTTCTCTTAACGGCTACAGCTGAGCCCAAAATGGGTGTTACTAAGTGAGACACTTGTTAAGTGAGTTTTGCCCCATTTTACCACCTCGCTTCCGACGGTTGTTAAATGAATCACTGCAGCTGTTAAGTTAGTGACACGGTTGTTCGGTAAATCCGGCTTCCCTGGTCAGAAGGTCGCAAAAAGGGATCACGTGATCCCAGAACACTGCAACCATCCTAAATAGGATTCAGTTACCGAGCTCCTGAACTTTGATCACGTTATCTGGGGGATGCTGCGACGGTCGTAGGTGTGAAAAATGGGCGCAAGTCACTTTCTTCAGTGCCGTCGTAACTGGGAACGGTCACTAAGCTGCTGTAAGTCGAGGACTGCCTGTAAAAAGGCTCTGCTCTCTTTCTCCCCGGCCTGTGCGTACCTTTTCTTCTCGGTGTCTCCTCTCCTGCTCTTCAAGGCGCTGGACCTCAGCGAGTTCTGCCGCCCGCATTTCAAGGAAGGCGTACTGGTGCGCCCGCAGATTGGCCAGTTCCTCTTCTTCCATCACCTCCAGCAAAGCCTGCTCGATCGTTTTGCCCACCAAAACCTCAAGCATGGGCTTGACTTCGATATCAAAATCGAAAAGCTGCGGGAGGGAAAACAAAGCCGAAACGGGGAAAATTTATTCGGTGGAGGAGGAGAAGAGATTTCTGGGGATAGTTTTCTGCAAAAAATTCCCCCCCTCCCCCAAAAAAAGTTTCTGTGAAAATCCCCAGAGAATCTTCTTCCCCATTAGGCTGTCTAAAAACACAATGGAAAGCAGGTATAGATAATCCTCCATTTACGACCAGAATGTTGTCATTGAGCAAAAAGCGGTCTTGTGATTCCTTCGCTCAATGACTGCAATCTTGGCTTTTCCAGTTGCAGTTATTAAGCGACGGCATGGGTCTTTAAGTGGAGCTTCTGGGGAGGGGGCCTGGGCCTCCTGGCATGGTGGGGAGGGGTGGGGAGAAGGCCCAGGCCTCCCCACGCCACTCAAGCGCCATCCCCATTTTACAGGGGACAACGAATGTGAGAACAAAAATATTTGCTCAATGCTCCGTCATCCAGGTGAGGCTTGTCCCAAAGGGGCTTTTTTCCAAATGGCAACTGGACATTAAGAAAACCAAGATCATGGCATCCGGCCCTCTCAATTCCTGGCAAATAGATGGGGAAGAAATGGAGGTAGCGACAGATTTTATCTTTCTGGGCTCCAAGATCACTGCAGATGGGGACTGCAGCCAAGAAATTAAAAGACGCTTGCTCCTGGGGAGGAAAGCTATGGCAAATCTAGACCATACTAAAAAGCAGAGACATCACCCTGCCAACAAAATGGCGTATAGTCAAGGCCATGGTTTTCCCAGTTGCAATGTATGGCTGTGAAAGATGAACCGTAAGAAAGGCTGAGCGCCAAAGAATGGAGGCCTTTGAACTCTGGTGCTGGAGAAGACTCCTGCAAGTCCCCTGGACTGCAAGGCCATCCAACCGGTCAGTCCTAGAGGAGATCAACCCTGACTGCTCTTTAGAAGGCCAGATCCTGAAGTTGAAACTCAACTACTTTGGCCACCTAATGAGAAGGAAGGACTCCCTGGAGAAGGGCCTGATGCTGGGAAAGATGGAGGGCAAGAGAAGAAGGGGACGACAGAGAATGAATGAGGTGGCTGGATGGAGTCACTGAAGCAGGAGGCGTAAGCTTCAATGGACTCCAGAAGATGGTAGAGGACAGGAAGGCCTGGAGGAACGTGGTCCATGGGGTCGCGATGGGTCGGACATGACTTCGCAACTAACAACAACAACAACAACTGGACTTTCTTGTTGTTTTTTTCTTTGAAAACATTTTGCTTCTTATCCACCAAGCTTCTTGAGTTCAGTTCTCATCCAGAACTGAAGAAGCTTCTTGGAGGAGAAGTGAAATGTTTACAAAGAAAGAAACTCCCCCCCCTCCACGAAAGTCCAGTTGCCATTTT